ATCTCCTCCGGCCGATGCCGGCATCCGGCTTCTGTGTCCTGTCCCTGTGACGTCGGGACGTACGGGCCGCCGCCGCGGCGGGAAATTTAAAAATTTTAAAAAATGTCATTTTTTTTTTTTTTTTCATTTTACACAGTAAAACATTGCTGTTTCAACCTATTTCACATACATTTTGTCCCGAGTGCTTTGTCCTGCGCCCTGCCTGCATTTTGTCTGTTCTTTCTGCCTGGAAACTGAGAAATGTCCATGGCGTCCAAAAAGTGTCCCTTTAGGTCAAAAGCGGTTTAGATCAGCTAGAGAACAGCGATAGTAAATCAGAACCACTTACAGAATTGAGTGATAATGATTCGTGGGGGAAATTCGTCATCAGAAACTGAAAACGATTTTGCGACTGAGCTCAGCAATGTGCAAACTTGGCGCTCTATTTCACATTTCAGTGTTTTTGGTTTGATTATATTATTGAATTAAATTTTTTATTATTTTTATATTATTTTTATGATTATTTATTAAATTATAATTTATGATTTTGTGTTTCAAATTTTATCATATCAGGAATGTTTACTAGACTCTTGTTCGGACAGATTTCAGTGAGTTTTTCCTAAAAATTACAGCCTACAATAAAAAAAAATACATATTTCCATGCAAAAAAATGGTACCGCTTTCAGCACCAAAAATCTGAAATAATCATACCGCCAGGGAGGTTAAGGTGAAATGATTTGGGAGATTTGTGGGGGTAAAGTTTAAACCTTTTTTCAGAAGGGAAGTTTCTGATGGAGTAAGGATATGAGAAGATACATTGTTTTGTATCTGTGTGGTAATCAGGTGTTTGGTGCTTTTTTACATTTCCTCACCTTTTTTTCTTTTTGTTTTCCCCATGAGGCAACAAGGTGGGTTTAGCCTTAAAACAATTCTCTAAGGTAGAAAGGGAAAGATCTTGTAGTAACGGGCATGGTACTGCTGAAACTGGCTCAATCTGCCATGTCCAGTGGATACATCAGTCGCAGGAGGGGTGTGCTACACTCCACAGGGGCACACAATGTGCATGATCCAGCTTGGTCGTGTCACCTACCCACAGTAAATGCTCTGGGTGGGTGGCAAGCAATAATACTTGTTTGATTTATTTTTATTTACCACCTTTTATCAAACAGGATTAGGATCTTACCGCCCTTATTTGCTGCTTCTACACAATACACACATTTTCTGCACTTTTTTTTTTTTTTTTTAGAAAAGTTTCTGCAGGAAATATTTAGGTAGTTTTTTTAAAAGCATTCGTTGGTGATGACAAGTCTTCTTTAGCGGTGGTGCAGAAAGGTGGAATGGAGTTATGATGAAGTGTAGAATGGACATAGTGGGGATCTTTTACATTTTAGTCCAACGATTAGATCATTCCCCTCCCCCTTATTCTGCTAACAGTGCAGTAGATCTCTAGTAACTAGAAGGTTAGAGCAATGCTTGACTGTAGTGGTGGGGCGATGTGATGGGAGTTCAGTGCTGCAATTCTCTCTAGCGGGACGGTAGTGGCATCTCTGCTCCACCATCTGCTGCTGACCCATCTGGTGGAGGAAAATGTTAATGACATGATGGCAGAGAGGCCCATAGCGGTCGAGGGAGAGAGAGGGTTAATGACTGTATGCTCTGCGGTGAATAGTGTTATGGCAGTTAAGCTGGTCCTCATCCGGTTGCGTCAGGGGAGGAGCTGAGCGTGGTTGATGTTTCTTCAGCTTGGGTGTTGGCAGGTGATGGTGCAGGGGGTGTCAGGGAGCAAGGAGCCAGACACACAAGGAGGTGCAATTAAAGGTAGGTTTATTAACAAAAACAAGACAGTCTATGCAAGTCCAACAGCAACAGTGGATGACTTGGTAGGAGAGTGGCCAGGAAGGATGGTCGCCAGAGCCGGGGTCAGAAGCCAGGAAGGATGGTCGCCAGAGCCGGGGTCAGAAGCCAGGAAGGATGGTCGCCAGAGCCGGGGTCAGAAGCCAGGAAGGATGGTCGCCAGAGCCGGGGTCAGAAGCCAGGAAGGATGGTCGCCAGAGCCGGGGTCAGAAGCCAGGAAGGATGGTCGCCAGAGCCGGGGTCAGAAGCCAGGAAGGATGGTCGCCAGAGCCGGGGTCAGAAGCCAGGAAGGATGGTCGCCAGAGCCGGGGTCAGAAGCCAGGAAGGATGGTCGCCAGAGCCGGGGTCAGAAGCCAGGAAGGATGGTCGCCAGAGCCGGGGTCAGAAGCCAGGAAGGATGGTCGCCAGAGCCGGGGTCAGAAGCCAGGAAGGATGATCGCCAGAGCCGGGGTTAGAAGCCAGGAAGGATGGTTGCCAGAGCCGGGGTTGGTATCCAGGAGAGCAATGAGAAACAGGAGCTAGCTGCTGCAACAGACAGGACACAAATGCAATGGACAGCTACAAACAGCAGACTTATGTGATAAGCCACCACCTCCTGGGGGAGGAGCCGCAAAGGGCTGAAAGCATAAAGGATCCCACAATGCTTTGTAGACACCTAAGATGAATGCCAGCACATGGAGCAGCACAAGCCCTGAGGAAAGGTAGGACCTTGACAAGGGGTAGTCCAGGCCTAGCGTCCGCTCACTGTCCATGGATGGAGATGGGGTCTTGTACTCAGTCTGTTCTGGTGCCCTCTGGCACTTCATCATGGTGGTCACCCCCACAGCTTTCTTTCATTTGGCTTTCACTAGGTTCATCTCAATTTGCGCACACACTCCGTCCTTGATGATTTTATTGGATGCTTGTTCCCTGAAATCCATGCATGGCTAATAGCGTCTGCCGCTTTCGCCCTCTGGTCCTGGTCCACCTGCATCAGACGGGACACCAAATCTTTAGCTGCTAGAGAAATATCTTCATATGGAGAGTCAAACTCATAATTGCCATGTAATACTTTCCGGAACTGGTTCTTGCCATGACTTTCGTAATCTTGCTCCTCCATCTCATCGTAGAACGGTGGGTTCCCAGAGAGTAGTGTTCGCATAACTCCGATGGCCCAGCAGTCAACAGGCCTATCATATCACTGGCGTGCGACTACCTCTGGGGCCAGGTACTCGGGTGTGCCACAAGGCTCTTTGATGAGGCTTGTCTCCAAGTTTGCCAAATGCAAGTCACCGATGACTATTTTGGAATTCTTCAAATGTTTTTTAATACAACAAATTTTCCAACTTGAGGCTCCTGTGTACAATACACAGTGAGTGAAGATAGGCCACAACCTCCTGGATCTGCCAAATGACGTTACTTGTATCCTTCTGTGAATAATAACCCTTATCCAGGATACAGTCAAACATTTCCTGGCCTTAAGTTAGCTCCAGAAAGATGAAATATTCCTTCTTTGTCTCAAACACACTGACCAGCTGCAGGATGTTGGGGTGCTTCACTATTTTGATGTTGATCTCATTTTAGGCCGCCTTCCTGACTTTGCACCCATCTCTCTTCAGGAAACATTTTGCAGGTGTAGTTTTCCTGATTATTTGTCTTTGGTTCCTCTGTCTTGATAAGCTGGCCAAAGTCATGTTTGTCGCTGACTTCTGTGGGTTGATTGTAATCCTTTTTGTCACCTAACGTTACACATCTAAACTGCATTACTTGCCTTAAGTGTCATGGGGTCGGTGCCGGGAATGGCTGAATGTGGTGATGCTGTGTTGACCCTGATCGGTCTATGACTCCAATCAACCTGCGATCAGGACCAATCCTGGTTAAATTTTTTTTTTTTTTTTTTGGGACAAGCAACACTTTTTTTGAAAGCAAAGCATACCACACACGTGGTAAAGGTCTGTACATTATGTGCCCCGATAGAAAGAAAAACAAAAGGGTGCAACCAGCCTGAATCATCTGCCCCAGGCAGGGATAAATACAGGGTTCAAGAAGAGGAAAGAAGCCCAGCCATAAAGCAGACCTGTATATTCACTAATTAATTTTTACTTAATTATCTTAGAAAGGAAGGAGGTGTTACTGGGGGGTGGCCAGAGAGAAGACTATCCAACGCTCTCTTTAGAAAAGTTTCTGCAGGAAATATTTAGGTAGTATTAGAAGCACAGAAAAGCATTAGCTGGTGATGACAGGTCCTCTTTAGCGGTGGGTGGTGTAGAAAGGTGGAATGGAGTTAGGATGAAGTGGAGGATGGACATGGTGGTGATCTTTACACTTAGTCCAGCAGCTATCAGGAGATTGTGGGGGGGGGGAATGCTGTAACAGTGCAGTAGGTCTCTCGAAACTAAAGGGTTAAAGAATAGTGTTTGACCGTAGTGGTGGAAGGGTTAATGGGGCAGAGAGATGGGAGGTCAGCGCTGCATTTCTCTCTAGCGGGACGGTAGTGGCATGCCTGCACCACCATCTTCTGCTGACCCGTCTGGTGGAGGAAAATGTTAATGACATGGCAAAGAGGCCCATCGCGATGAAGGGAGAGGAAGGGTTAATGATGGTATGCTCTGCGGTGAATAGGGTTATGGCAGTTAAGCTGGTCCTCACCCGGTGCCGTCAGGGGAGGGGCTGTGCAGGGATGGCGTTTCTTCAGCTGGGGTGCTGGCAGGTGACGGTGCGGGGGTAGTCAGTCTTGCCGTCCGCTCGCTTTCTATGGATGGAGATGGGGTCTTTGACTCGGTCTGCTCAAGTGCCCTCAGGCACTTCATCATGGTGGTCCCCCCCCACAGCTTTCTTCCATTTGCTTTCGTGAAATTCTTCTCAATCTGCACACAGACTCCGTCCTTAATGTTTTTATCGGATGCTCGTTCCCTGAAATCCTCCAATTTCGCCCTCTGTTCCTGGTGCACCTCCTTCAGACAGGACACCAAATCTTTGGTTGCTAGAAAAATATCATCCCAATATGGAGAGGAAAACTCATAATTGCCATGTAGAATCTTCTGGAACAGGTTCTTGTCATGACTTTCGTAATCTTCCTCCTCCATCTCATCGTAGAACCTTCGAGGGTCTCCGGAGAGTAGTATGTGCATAGTAACGCTGATGGCTCAGCAGTTCAATGGCCAACCGTATCGCTGGAGTGCGACCACCTCTGGGTCCAGGTACTCAGGTGTGCCACAAGGCTCTTTGATGAGGCTTGTCTCCAATTTAGCCAAATGAAAGTCACTGATGACTATTTTGGAATTCTTCAAACGGTTATAATACAAGAAGTTCTCCAACTTGAGGTTCCTGTGTACAATACACAGTGAGTTAAGATAGGCCACAGCCTCCAGGACCTGCCGGATGACGTCACCTGTATCCTTCTCTAAGTAATAACCCTGAGTGTGGTGCCATGCTGTGCTGCCTCTGGCCGATTTTTTTATTCTGCTCACCAAGCTATCAGGACCAATCCTGCTGCTTCTCTTAACACTGGATACAAAATAAGTTTCAATAAGTTTATAAATAAAATGTATAATTTTATATTGACCAAAAAACTACTGTGAGCATCTGAATTGTGTTCTCTGAGCAATTCATCAACTATGTTGGGCGCGAGACACCCCTTTAATTGTTTGTCTATCCTGGTAAAGGTTACTTCGACTGGAGGTCTTTTTATATGAAGCTAAGTTTTTTGTTTTTTTTGGGGGGATTTTTATGATGTTTACGCCATGCCTGCATGTATCAATGTTGATCAGCTGCAGCTTTAAACTGCAGGACAATAATATTCCAAGTCTGTTTTTTTGGAATTATTTTTATTATACAGGATTTACAGTCAGGTCCATAAATATTGGGACATCGACACAATTCTAACATTTTTGGCTCTATACACCACCACAATGGATTTGAAATGAAACGAACAAGATGTGCTTTAACTGCAGACTGTCAGCTTTAATTTGAGGGTATTTACAACCAAATCAGGTGAACGGTGTAGGAATTACAACAGTTTGCATATGTGCCTCCCACTTGTTAAGGGACCAAAAGTAATGGGACAGAATCATAAATCAAACTTTCACTTTTTAATACTTGGTTGCAAATCCTTTGCAGTCAATTACAGCCTGAAGTGTGGAACGCATAGACATCACCAGACGCTGGGTGTCATCCCTGGTGATGCTCTGCCAGGCCTCTACTGCAACTGTCTTCAGTTCCTGCTTGTTCTTGGGGCATTTTCCCTTCAATTTTGTCTTCAGCAAGTGAAATGCTCAATCAGATTCAGGTCAGGTGATTGACTTGGCCACTGCATAACTTTTTATTTTTCCACTTCTTTCCCTTAAACTCTTTGGTTGCTTTTGCAGTCTGCTTTGGGTCATTGTCCATCTGCACTGTGAAGCGTCCAATGAGCTGTGAAGCATTTGGCTGAATATGAGCAGATAATATTCCCGAAACACTTCAGAATTCATCCGGCTGCTTCTGTCAGCAGTCACATCATCAATAAATACAGGAGAAGCAGTTCCATTGGCAGCCATACATGCCCACGCCATGACACTACCACCACCATGCTTCACTGATGAGGTGGTATGCTTAGGATCATGAGCAGTTCCTTTCCTTCTCCATACTCTTCTCTTCCCATCACTCTGGTACAAGTTGATCTCGGTCTCATCTGTCCATAGGATGTTGTTCCAGAACTGTGAAGGCTTTTTTAGATGTCGTTTGGCAAACTCTAATCTGGCCTTCCTGTTTTTGAGGCTCACCAATGGTTTCCATCTTGTGGTGAACCCTCTGTATTCACTCTGGTGAAGTCTTCTCTTGATTGTTGACTTTGACACACATACGCCTACCTCCTGGAGAGTGTTCTTGATCTGGCCACCTGTTGTGAAGGGTGTTTTCTTCACCAGGGAAAGAATTCTTCGGTCATCCACCACAGTTGTTTTCCGTGGTCTTCCGGGTCTTTTGGTGTTGCTGAGCTCACCGGTGCGTTCCTTCTTTTTAAGAATGTTCCAAACAGTTGTTTTGGCCACACCTAATGTTTTTGCTATCTCTCTGATGGGTTTGTTTTGTTTTTTTCAGCCTAATGGCTTGCTTCACTGATAGTGACAGCTCTTTGGATCTCATCTTGAGAGTTGACAGCAACAGATTCCAAATGCAAATAGCACACTTGAAATGAACTCTGGACCTTTTATCTGCTCATTGTAATTGGGATAATGAGGGAATAACACACACCTGGCCATGGAACAGCTGAGAAGCCAATTGTCCCATTACTTTTGGTCCCTTAACAAGTGGGAGGTACATATGCAAACTGTTGTAATTCCTACACCGTTCACCTGATTTGGATGTAAATACCCTCAAAGCTGACAGCCTGTCACCCTCAAATGACTAAAATGTTATCTTTCCCTTACCTTTTTATGGAAGTTTACCATGTTTCTATTTTCGGGTGGGTTTGATTGACAGCACATACTGTATATATTGAATCAATATGTTATCACTTTCTATATTAATTTTTATTTTATTAAAATAGCATTTTTTTATATTTAATAATTGTATTTTGTTTACTCCCTAAGACTCAGGGGTGTCAAACTGGCAGCCCTCCTTCTGTGGCCAAACTACAAGTCCCACAAGATTGACAGTTACAAGCATGAATCTCGAAGGCAGAGGCATGATGGGACTTGTAGTTTCACTGGAGCGCTTCCAGTTTGACACCCCTGCCCTAAGATATGGTTTGAAATCATGCGGAGATCTATTTCTATTATACGGGAAATCTAATTTGAATATTTAACTATTTTTATTATATTATCTTAAATGTTACGAATGGTGTACAGCTGCATGCCAGATGCATGTTCAACCATTTCACTTTGCACTGTTCATAAGAAAAAAAAAATCACATCTGATTACTGTGTGAATTTGTAATAATTCCAGTATGTCATAATAAGGGGGTGTCTGTATTTGTGAGTGCTGGACTTTGTATTTTATTAGGAAGTGTATTATTTTTTGCTTGGTGTCTTACTTTCACAAAACTGTAATCCCAGGAATTCTCTGGAGATTACAGCCTTGCATTCACAATTCTCAAGCATTCTGAGCATTTGTAGATGGCTTCCCTTCTCCTGAAGAGCAGCGACCTACAAAGCTTCGTAAACCGGAACTCAGATTAGAAGTGTTTACTGGCAATCTGATCAGCGGTGATTTATCGCTGCTTTATAAACGGACAGCTCTATGGAAAAATACCGAAGGTTTCTCTGTGGCAGTCTTTGAAATCTCTATACCACAGAGTCACAGGAGGGATCCACACCCAGAGCCCTACAGTGGAACTCCCATGTTTGAATTTAAAATGGAGGGGTACGCTATGATCGATTACACTGTTCAACAAATTTTTATTTTTTGCCAGTTTTGGAAACAAAAGGATCCATTTCTTAACGAATTTCACATTCTGAGTTCAAATATAACAATGAAATTTGTCAATTGGCTCTAGTTTTTCTGTAAACGGAAAGTTTTCTACTATAGGCGTAATGACTACATAATGCACAATAATTATATAGATGTCTTTCCACAAATATAAAGCAAGTGATATTGACTACATAACATGGCATAATATATTGCATAGGATTACCAAGAAAAATTATAGCCATAAGCTAAGTTGAATCATTTTAATACTTAGGATTCTCACTAGTTTTGTCTTCAGTTTGTGTCGGTTTTGCTTCTCTTGGCTTTTCTCTTGTATTCGAGGAAAGGGCTATCTCTTACAACTGCACGTGACTACACGCTTCAGGTTCTTCCTCACTTGACTCAACCACGAAGGATTCTGGTGCTTTAGGAATTGGTAGCCCCTCTCCATGAGGAACTGGACATATTGCCGATGGAATATTTGGATAGTGCACAGATAACTTTTTCTTCTTATTTAGCCCTTTTACAATTGGAGGCACCATACAAAAGTAACAATACTAACATGATCTGGGCTCTCTCCAAATCATTGGCACAGCGAAAGGCATAGATGCCTTTTTTTTCCATTCAACCATTGCTCCAGTGCCGTCCCACAAGAATTGCAGCATATATTTGGTGCCCAGCTCTTGTCCTGGTCTCCTATCTTGCAGCCAAAATACAAGTTGTAGGCTTTCTTAATCATTCCTGTTATCCTCCTTTTTTGTGAGATAAAAGTTATTTCACCGCAGATATAGCAGAAATTATCTGCTTTATTCACACAAGTTCGAGGCATTACTGAGTAGCCTATATAAGCAGAAAACGAAATGTAAAGACGCTGTCGAACTACAATCAGCTACAGATACTGCAGCTTTTATGCAGTGAAGTGATGCAATTAAAGGCTAATATTGCATCATCTCAGTATACATGCAATTTTCTATTGGTCACCAGTATCAATTGCGCATTATGCAGCTGAAGTTGCATCATAATTTTGAATGGCTTACGTCATTAGATGGGTGAATATATCATGGAAACTAGAGCCAATCAACATTTTTTAGGGTCATTTTCGTTTTCAGCACCCCAAAATTATGTAAGATTAGCTAATTTTATGCCCAAAACTTTTTACCTGTTGAACAGTGTTATTAGATTCCTCGATTGGTCTTCTGTGGCCATAACAGTGTGTATAGTACAACCCACATAGAAGCCCCTAGGGACCCGAGAGACAGATGACATCTGAAACACAAGAATAGGAGAATTCTCAATCGGGTAAAGTTTTCCAGTGCTATTTTGGAAATGCTTTTGTCTGGGATTCACACATGGGCTCATCTTAAACGGACTGTACCAGTGTGAGAAAACCCAGTGTAAGTGGCAGAAAGTCACCAAGAAATGACAAGTGGACTTGCTGGGGGCTATGCTGTTAATATTGGGATCTCTTCTCAGACAAGCTAAGGTTTTTTTTTTTTTTTTCTTTTTGATTTGGTATCTTTTTGTAGCATGCTCATGTGCCATGAAATATGAATAACACTGGGTGTTGAATTTAATGTCAAACCTATCCAAATGATCTGATTTGGAACTCTTGGTGTATGGAAGACTATTCTTCATAAACTTGTTGAATTAGATGGGGGTAAAGGCCTTTTTTCTAATCACCTACCTCTCAAAGGTACAGTTTTTTACAGATTCTAGTGAATTGGCCCTTTGGGAACATTCTTTATCCAAGCTGGATAGAGGCAATTATGATGGTACAGGTATGAATTACCCGATGTAGGCTTAAAGCACATTTTGGAGATCATAGAACCTTCTTTAAATCTAAAAATACCAAAGAAGTGGAGCTGGACATGTGTGGAAGAGAAGCCCAATTCATTGTCTTTAGAGAGTACTCTACAAAGAAACTGTAGGAGAGCCATTCTTTATGATGATTATATTGTCTATGTATTGGCCATAAAACACATGGTCAGCAAAAGGGTGGTTTTTCTCCAGATAC